TTAACGTCATATTTTTGCTTTTCTTAATCGTGAACTGCAAATGACATTGTAAATTGAAACTAAGACAATGAGGACTAAAGTGATGGTTCCAAAAGTGCTATGTGGATTTTTCATTGAACTGCTCATTATGTTCTTTCAATGAATTATCTAATGCATTAATACTTCTGATTGATATATCGTTCAAATTCTAGAGACGATTAGCTATAGGTAACATTCTTTAAGTTACTTGATCATTAACTTCTTTTGCAGATCTTATCATGCTTGTCAAAGTGCAGTTCTTACCTAAAAAGTAGGTGAAATTATTTACTTTGTCAAATAAGCTGGTATTAGAAAGTTCAATATGAGTAATTGTATATCTTTTCTTAAGCCGTCGTCAGCTTTGGAAACATTTCCAGCACGCAGAAAAGTGAAGCAGAGGAACAAGGAGTAGCTTGCTTCTCATGGGATGAGTTTGTTCAAATGGTAAAGGCAATATATTAATGCAAAATATCATATTCAGTGATCTGCATTCTAATAACTAGTTTTTGTGCCTTCGCTTAAGCTTTATATCACTCTATCCAGGGAAGTTTGGATCATGAACTTCCTCAGAAACGGAAGACTGATATATGTACAATTATGTACACAAGCGGAACTACTGGAGAACCAAAAGGCGTCATTTTGACTAATGGGGCTTTCATGGGAGAAGTTCTATCGATGGATCAACTTCTCGCTGAAACAGACGAAGAGGTAATTTTGAGCTATTGCTCCTGAAAGTTTAGATATCTAGCTTGTGAAGACGTGTGGCCTTTAACTCTTTGGAAATCTAGACGTACGATTTGCAATTTAACCAATATCATGAATATTTGTGTTTGGTTAGTGTCTTTTCTTGCTTCATCGCAAGCAATCATTTTGATCTAGCTTGAACTTAAGACATCATATCATCTGCAAAACTTGAGAGGAATTGTGATTTAAGTGCTCACTTTTAATCTCCTAAGTAAGATTTTCATTCTCCATATTTCACAAATTTGCCCAAAGTTGTAAATTGAGTATAGTAATCATTAAGTTACCAGCAAATCCTATTTGGCTATAATGAATCTCCTGCAGGTTTATATATTTTCTATCTTATTCTCATCGGTGCAATAATAGCTAAGTGTGATCTTACTCTTATCAATTTGTGTCAATTTCAGGGAACAGGAGATGACGTGTACTTTTCGTTCCTTCCACTGGCTCATATATTTGATCAAATAGTTGAGACATATTGCATATACAGGGGTGCTTCAATAGGATTTTGGCAAGGCGTAAGATACATATAATATTTGTGCCGTAAATTACTTATAGCTTTTTTTTTGCTTTTAAACTTGCTCTTTGTTCAAGCCCAATTGAATCGAATAAATGTTTGCATCTGAATAACAGGACATTAGATACTTGATTGAGGATCTTCTGGTATTGAAGCCCACTATATTTTGTGGAGTTCCAAGAGTTTTTGACAGGATATACACAGGTCTCTAATCTACTGTTCAGTGAACAAAATTCAGGCTTAATTTTTTACATCAATTAGTTTTTGCTAGTCTCATGTTTTTTCCTATTTCTTTTCTATAATTTTTGTTTTCGGGTGTGGGAAATTCAGGTGTGATGGATAAAATTGAAGCTGGAGGTTTGTTAAAGAAGCTGCTTTTCCAATATGCATATAACTAGTACGTCCTCTTATAAAGTTTCTGTGCTTAGATCAGCATTATTTGCATTTGTTTCCCTTCATTTCTATTGTATATTAAGCATTACATATATTTTTTCCAGCAAGTTAAGGAATATGGAGAAAGGACTAAGACAAGATGAAGCAGCTCCTCGCTTTGACAGGCTGGTTTTTGACAAGGTTTGCTATCTGATCCCTAGCATTTACTTGGTCCATAATCCGATTGACTTATTTGCATATACTTCTCGTTCCAGATCAAACTAGCATTTGGTGGACGAGTTCGTCTCATGCTTTCTGGAGCTGCTCCTTTGCCCAAGCATGTCGAAGAATTTCTAAGGGTGACATGCTGCTGTTCTTTAGCTCAAGGATATGGTATTGAATACTACTAGTAAACTTATTACTCCCATCTTTTCATAATTTGTCAAAGTTTCCTTTATTCACCTTAAATCCTAAGATCCCTTCTCTGTGTTTCCTTGCAAATTTTGGGGGCCTAACACCTAAACAGATATATAGTAAATCATATAAACTCATGTGAAGCCGAGGGTCTATCGGAAACAGTCTCTCTGCCTTCACAAGGTAGGGTTAAGGAACTCCACGTAGGATTACACTGGGTTTGTTGTTGTTGTTGTATATAAACTCATGTGAAGCCCAAGTACTTTAAATCAAATAAGAGTGTACAACTTTTGAAAAGCAAGGATGTTATTGCAGCTAGTAGAATTGCCATATTTTATATAATGTTGATTCTCATAGTGAAATGCGTAGTAGCATTTTCACCGCTCTTCTTTGTCAGTTGTCACATTTTCTTGTGCTTATTTTGACCTACTCTTCAATGTTAGGTCTTACTGAAAGTTGTGGAGGATGTTTCACATCCATAGCCAATGTTCACCCCATGATAGGAACTGTTGGTGTTCCAATGACTACAATAGAGGCAAGACTTGAGTCCGTGCCAGAAATGGGATATGATGCGCTCGCAAGTGTGCCATGCGGAGAAATTTGTCTGAGGGGAAAAACCTTGTTTTCGGGGTACCATAAGCGAGAAGATCTTACAAAAGCAGTACTTGTGGATGGATGGTTTCATACAGGTAATGAGGAGAAAGAGCAATACAAATTCTTACTTATCACAGTGCTGTCATATTCCTGAGCCGAGTGTCTACCCGAAACAGCCTCTCTGCCTTCTTAAAGGTAGGGGTAAGGTCTGGGTACACACTACCTTCCCCAGACCCCATTTGTGGGATTACACTGGGTATGTCGTTGTTGTCACAGTGTTGTCATGTTCATAAGGTGGAAATGAGCATGCTTCGTTTTGACTCAGCCATCAATAGAAGTAGACACTATGGAAAATTGAAGTATCACTGAAGTTGCAATGAAATTAACAATAATCTGATGATAGTTTATATCATTGGTCGGGGGGTGTAATAATTGATTTGTGCAATCGAATTCTGAGCATGGGAAAATTGCAGGTGACATTGGTGAGTGGCAGCCAGATGGAGCAATGAAAATCATTGACCGGAAAAAGAACATATTTAAGCTGTCTCAAGGGGAGTATGTGGCTGTGGAAAGCATTGAAGGGTTATACTCCAGATGCCCACTTATTACATCGGTAAGCATTAATTGGTGACCCGATAAAAATGATAATTAACATGCTATAATAGGTTAAATTACAATGATCATGTACTAATTCTTTAGAAAGCCACTGTATATAACTTAAAATCCTTTCTAGTGATAAGAGTTGCAGGATGTATAAATAATCATATTCTAAAGAGAAAATCTAAGCATTCCAAATGACTATAAGTGCAAACAAAACGTTTGAACTTTGGGAGAGTTTCTGCCTTACCCTATTTCCTTTATGCTAATTGAGATTGAGTTGGTGGATTTGTTAGATTACTGTATGTTCCACGTGACACAATTTCCTTCTAACTCATAATCTGGTCCACAGATCTGGGTATATGGAAATAGTTTCGAGTCCTTTTTAGTGGCCGTGGTAGTTCCAGAAAGAAAAGCACTTGAAGACTGGGCTTCAAGTAATCAAGAAACTGGAGATTTTTCAGCTCTATGCAATAACTCAAAGTCAAGGAAGTACATTTTGGATGAACTCAACAGCACTGCCAAGAAACACCAAGTACGTAGCAAATTTCTTTTGATTCTATGGTTTTTATCCAGTTCTTACTCTGATCAGAAAAATACCTCCACAGCTTCGAGGTTTTGAAATGTTACGTGCAGTCCATTTGGAGCCAAAACCTTTTGACATTGAGCGAGATTTAGTTACTCCCACATTCAAACTGAAAAGGCCACAGCTGCTCAACTATTACAAGGTATACACATTTGTTTGTTTAAGCCAAAAGTATATCCCTTATGTTGAAGTGTGGCACAATCTCTAACCTAAAAGATTTGATGGTCACACGAGTCTCATCTAATGTTAGAGAAAAAGACACTTTTAATTACTTAATTATATTATGTCTCAACGCGTTCACCTTTTTGTATCGCTTGTTACTTAATAAAAGATGTTACTGTTTTGAAGTCAAAGAGGTGTGGAGCAGAACAGAAGGAACCTTGGAAAAGCTAACTTTCAGTATTTAGAGAGATCTTCATTAGTCTAGTCCTGTTAATCATCCCACCTCTCGCACTCTGTATGTCTAGATTCACCTGTTAAGATTTGTATCAGCTCACTTAATAGTGTTATATGTTGTGTATGTAGGACATTATCGATCAGCTGTACAAAGAAGGTAATGCAAAAACTGCATAGATCGAAGCCATAGAACTTGGACTTGCTGATGAATTGACAAGCTTCAGCTGATTCTTTTGGAAGTTCAACGCTCGTATCAAAGTGCACATTGCTGATAATATATGTTTAGAACTTGATACATTAGGAAGTAGCATACATATGTACTTTCCCGATCATCGCCCTTATCTTATGTATAGATGCACTCCTTTGAAATTACCAACATATTAGTATCTCGAGGTTCAGAGTCTGCAAATTTGAGGAACTATATTTGCTACCATGTCATTTGCCAAAGAAATAAAAAGAATAGAGTATTTCATTCTAAGCTTCTAGTTTAGTGAGTCTTTTGCGCCTTCTAACATACAAATAGAAATTCCTGACATGATCCAGATTTACATCTAGCAAGCTTAGAATGCTGGAGTATAACTTTTGACGAATACTACCTGTGGGGTTGGGCATCAATGGCTACTTAGGCCAGGTTTGGTTTATTTATTTTTTGGACAAGAAAAAACATATTTTTGGTTTGAACTGAATTATGCTCAACTCTAATGAATTATTCACTTCATCACTTGACTATGGGTTAACGAATTCATGGTACATAAAGTAAACGAATTTTGGGCACAAAAACACATTATTCAGACAAGAAGCAAGCAATCTATTACAGTATTACTCATATGGACTTTATAACAACAACACCAAAACCAGTATAATCCCACAAGTGGGGTCTGGTGAGGGTAATGTGTACGTAGACCTTACCCCTACCTTGTGAAAATAGAAAGAACCCTCGGCTCAAGGAACAATGAAACTAAATCAACAAACAATTGCAACAATAAGGTAATAGGATAATGGAAGCGAATAACTCAACGTGTACTAAAAATTCAACAGAAGAAAAAACAATCACACTCAAATCTTCCAAGCAAATTGCAATCATGACAAGTCGTCGTGAAAGAAGAGCCAATATTGTCGACTTTGTTTATATGAAGTGTAGAATCAACGCCCAGACCGGATATACCAAAAGGAGGACGATCCCAACAGTGTTTGAAATGCCATTGGCTTTAGTGAAAGAATTCCTGAATCCTCCACTTGCTCTAATGTGTTCTTGCAAAAGATAACACCCAATAACAAGGCAAACCAACGTACCAATCCAACTATTCCTGAAAGTGTCAGCCAACAAACTGGGAGCCACTACCATTAGAAGGACCAGTGCTGCTGGTGCTTCTAGCCAATCTGCACTCAAAATTGTCAAAAATAAGAATAAACATGTCTGTATTGATTGCATTAATCCAATTGAAATTGCATAATCATACAAAACGACTGCGATTTCATTGACCAAACGAACTGGTGCCTAAACCTTTCTACAGCTAAAAAACAAAATCCAAAATTCATTTTAATTATGATTATTGAAACATTTTGTATGTATTATCCCCTAATTACATATCAAATCGACTATAAGAAAAGTTAAGCTACAATATGCAATAGCGAAGAAGGTGTGTATATATATATTGAACCTGGAAAGTGTCGAGGGAAGAAAAGGCGTGTTACAACAGCGATCAAAGATAGCCATTTTCCAAAATCTCCCCTGTATTTATCAACATACATACATACCAAGTATTACATTTTAATTACAAAATGCAAAGAGTTAAACTTATGTATGGAAAACATGCTTTAAAAAATAGCTAAAGAAAGTTTCGGAGGGAAATGAAGAATTACCTGAACAAACCAAACAACAAAGAAGGGAGACTCAAGAAAATGTAAGGAATTAGGAGAGTTGTGAGCATGTTGCTCCTCCAGTTTGTTCGATCCAAGATCAACAAGTAACTGTAATTATGTACATGTGAAAATATTACTAAAATTTCAACGATCATATAAAGTTATGATATTTGTGAAGTTTAAATTCTGAATCTATCTAGCGCAATTATCAAATTTACAAGGGGGAAAAGAGATTACATTGCAGCAAAAGAAGCAAGCCACATGAGAAAAGTAGTGCCAAAACCAATGCCACCAAGCATAATGGCATGCTTAGCTAATTTCTTAGCAGCAAAACCAATTTCCTTCAAATCTGAATCAATAAGATCACTTGCTACTGCTGCATCTGTCTTCATTGCCAAATAACTTTTCTTTATCCCCATCTTCCCCTAACCAAACACTATTCAACAATTCTTCTGAAAAATTTTGATGTAAAGAAAGAGAATAAAAGTAAGCAGATTCACTTCTTCTTCTTTTTTTTTGCACAATGAGATATTTGTATAAATTTATGTATTTAAAGCAGTCATGACAATGAAAATATCGGACATTCGAGGGAGCCTAGTCAAACTCGAATGAGTGTGACAGTTTTGTTAGTTAATGGAAATTGGGTGCCACGTGGAGACCAATTAAATAAATTATTGTAAGTACGGATCCATTGAAACATCATTTTTGGCCAGTTGTGCTGGATTAAACTTCACCTCTCTTTTTTTATTTAATAAGAGTCTTATCTATATGTAAAATGATGACTCATTATCTTTTCTTTTATTCTAAAAACAAATGGAATATCTTTTTGTTTAAAGATCAGTTTCTTAATGTATCTATCTCATTGAATTGGCTGGGCCCAATTCACCAGCCTTGTTACACCCTTGCCTTATTTGTTTAATTTCGTCTATATATAAAATGGGAGGGGGCATTTGATGCATATAAATATTGGTAAACTACTTAACTAATTCATGTTAGAAGATAGATATTAAGTAGAAAAAATATCTGTGATGAATCATCACTGCATTTTAATAGAAAAAACTGGAACATGGGAGATTTAAAATGCTACTGCCTACATTGATGACTTTGCTAGTAATCCATTTTCTTACTGGCGCATAGATATCCCTTCTTTTTTTCTTCTTTCCGAAAAAGGAAAAAAGGAAAAAAGAAGAAAACCGGTGAGTTTAAAAAATAGCCATTTTCCAGACTTGTAATTGAAAAAAAAATAAAAAATAGCCAATTTTTGGAATCCATGACGATTTTATGGATTTCAAATTTTAAAAAGTGAAATTCCATGACAGTACCATGAACGAAATACAAGAAACTATCATTGGAGTTTCATTTTTTGTTAACTTCGAAATCCTTATCATGATTTTGCAAAAATTAGGAAAGTATCACTTGTTTAAGTTCGAAATCCATGATAGGTATTTCAACATTAAAAGTGGTTACTTTTCAATAATATTTTAAATTCTGGCTATATTTCAAAATCGGCTCGGAAAGTGCTAACCTGTAAACTTTAACACGAAAGAGGGCAAATAACAAAAGTTTGGTCCAACTGCTCCAGTAATCCCATAAAGCGTGAACTTTTAATATTTTTTTTGGCTAATTATGTTATATTATTAATTTATAAATTAAAATTTTAAAAATCCTACACCTAGTAGCAAAGCTATAAAGATGGAATGACGAGTTGTTGGAATAAAAGAACTTGAATCATGACTTTGTCCCGAATTTGTATTCATTTCTTCCAAAGTGTAAAATTTCCCAATGAAATCGAGTAATATTGCTGATGCCGGATAGAGTTACCAACTTATAAGTTTACATTATACATGTACACAAAGTTGGGTTTTACTCGTTCGTTGGGGAGTTTTTATATAGAAAAAAAGAAAAACCTAAATTGAAAATGCAGACTAGGAAATAATTACCATAACTTTTGGTTTCTAGCAAATATTGCTAAAAGTGTTATGAAAATATTATTGTGGATGTCCATTTATTACTCCGTCGTAGATAATCTTCCTGAAAAAGATTATCCATTTAGTACTCCATTAAAACTTATCTATAAGCAGCTGATGCAGGCAGGTTGCAAGCAACTCAATGAAATGACTTGCAGCAGCTTCTTATTAAACAGACATGTTGCAAACAACTCATACACACAGCTTATAAGCAGCTCAAGAAAAGCCTCGCAGCTGCTTCCCGAAAAGCCTTGTAGTTGCTTCCTGAAAAGCCTCGCAGCTACTTCCTTTCTTCTATAAATAGAAGAGATTTAAGTCCATTATGTACATCAGTTTGAAGTTGAATAATATATCAATCTCTCTCTCTATACTTGTCTTCAGTTTATTTACTTTACAGATTTTATTTTATAACATGTTATCAGCACGAGACTCTGCCATCTCGAGCAAATACTTTGAAAGTATCAAAGGTACGAACTTTCTTTTTGTAAATAATATCAAATTTTTCTAAGCGTGAATTTGTAGCACCGGATATATCGGGCAAAAACTACATGTCTTGGGTGTTTGATACTGAAATTTATCTTGATGTAATGGGTCTAGCTGACACCATCAATGATAAGTTATCATGTGTTTTACTTGCTATATATGCTACTGCCATTAAAAAAAAGTATTTAGAAACCTAGTAAGTGAGCCATAATCATTGGACGAGATTCTGGAGCATTTTATGAATTTTAAAACACTATAATTTGTATATCTTTATGTTCCGGTTTTCACTTACACGTTTTCGAATTAAGATTTCAATTTTACTCTAGAAGAGTAATATTGCATATGAAACTATAAAGTGGATGACATTGTTAGATCCATATAAACTCTAGCAGAGTTTGTAAGAAATATATAACCACCAGCAGTGGTAATATTTCCTAAGTCTTGTTATAACTTAACTTCATAGTTCACTTAAACTCTAGCTGAGTACAATCACCAGAAGTGGTTGTGTTTCGTATATCTCATTGTAACTAAATTTTGTTAACCACCATAAGTGGTATATGCCTATGATCACTAGAAGTGATACTTTAGGCTTGCTATGGTTACAATGAAGATAAGTTAGAGAAAATTTCTCTATATTACATACATACCTCGATTTGCTCCTTAAGTAGCAAATATATTAAAAGAGGTCAGGCGCCATCACAATTTAATTTAGTTATTGCACGTTCAGATAATTATGTTCCATCACATAAAGAAAGAGAACTTTTGATAATATTAATCCATTCCTTGAAGTGAATGTGACAATATTAACAAAGCTTGTAAATATGAGCGCGCCCTTAATGTAAATATATTACGATTTACCTCCAGAAGAGCTAATATGATTGAGAGAATATACACTCAATATTTCGTATTTTAAATTTGCTCCTGAAATAGTAAAGCAATTGAATTTTTCTCCTGAAGCAGGAAAATATTATAAAATTGTGTCTTCCTGTGCTTAAACAAAATAATGAGCTATTCAAAGTTATTTTTGGAGCATATTTTCATTCCCTAGAGTGAATGAAGAAATATCACAACTCACCTCTTGAAGAGCTAGAATAACTAGGGGTATAAATATTAATTTTGTGGCATAAAGATCATTGTCGCACGTACCTGTTGTACGTAAAACATCTTGGATAATTTTATTAAGTATCATTCTAAGGCAAAAGCATTCTTGTAGAATACTTTCTATTACAACCACATTAATAAGTATCATTCTAAGGCAAAAGCATTCTTGTAGAATGCTTTCTATTACAACCACATTAATAAATAATAAATTCTCGTGTATCTTTTCTTAAAGGATGCAATGACTATGTGGTTGCCGCATTGATACAAAATATTCAGATGTTAATGGTATTTCTCTTTGAAGGAGATATTTGTCACAAAGTTAGTGGTAGAAATATTAAAATTCTTAATTTTCACCATTTATAAATTTAGAATTGGCTTTATATTGTTCATTTGATTATGATTTTCTCTCATGACACTAGAAGTGTCTGAGCAATATTTGGTAGTATAAAATTTATCAAAAGCTCCCGAAGAGCTAACTGTTTGTCTAGAAGACACATGACACAAGTAGTGTATGAATAATATTTGATTGTGGACAATAAATTGAAGGCTCCCGAAGAGCTTATTTGTCATTATTGTGGTCAAAACATATGTTATGATAAACTCGAAGTTTATTAATACAAATGACAATAATACTGAGACTACAAATAATTGAAAGATTGAAAATCTTCATGTTTCCACAATCATATGGGGTAAATATGTATGTGAGAAGTTACCCGTATTATTCTTCAATTTGTACTATATCGCGTAGTAGTCACAATAAATCAGAAATTTTTACTGAGGCAAAAGTAACTATAATAAATCAGAAATTTACTGATATAAAAGTAGCTACAGTAAATCAGAAGTTTATTGATATAAAAGTTTATGCCATATTAAACCAGAAGTTTACTGAAAGATAGCACATGCTATAATAAACTGTAAGTTTTTATTTGCCATCTGGTTTAAATATGATGAGCTAATTGAGAATTATGATAAGTATATATTGAAGAACTAAAAGATTCTTCAAGAATTCTTTTGTGTTGCTTGTTCTCATAATAACATGATTATACTAGCCAAAGTTGGGACTAAGACCTCTAATTCTAAAATATATAAAAGGTGAATACGGGGCCATTCGCCTATCATGTGAACCACTTATAGATGCATATATGAGATAGTTACATGTGCGATTATTGTCAACCTTCAGTTTGACATTTGAAATTACTTTTCTCAATTAAGAGCATAATTTTCAGATTATGAAATCAAGACAGTTTATTTTGATAACGCTGGTTTAGCATTAAATATCTCCTATTAATGGCTAAACTATTGCTTATGAGAACAAAGCTTCATGCGTTGATCTAAGATTTTCTAAGTTGCATACAGCAACACTTGTATGCATCAGACCAACAATATATGATAAGCCCTCCCCTCATTGGTTTAGGATCAGAAACCAAATATTTTTACTGTCTAATAACTTTTGACGCGTGGTATATGATTAATTTCTCTACCATAAAGCACAAAGATAGGTTTGCCAAAAAAGATTTGGGATATATGTTAATTTTTCTAACATTCGGGGGATGGAATAAGCAGCTGGAGAATATGCTATATGAATTGAATTATCATTAAGATGATCCTCATTAAGAAGATAATTCAAGTCAAATGCCAGAAGCATTTGCTGATCAAAAATTAAATATCATATTTAAGCTATAAATGCTCCTATTAAAATTAAAGTCCCTGAAGGATAAAGTTTACTGCAAGCATGAAGCATAGTAAACCGATCGGTTCCATAGGTAACAATCATTGAAAACTGATAGGAGCAAATGATCAAAATGATCATAATGATAAGGAAATAAGCTCTAGAAAAGCCCACGACATAACATTTCATGAAACTCAAGAAGAAGTTCAGAAACCTGAAAATAAAGAACGTGATGAGATCTCAACAAGTTATGTCGCTTAGGAACCGATACAAAATAATCGTCGACGATATATTTGATATAATATAGTGCACAATATTGTAAAAAATTGTAAGGATCGGAC